TTTTTTTTTTTTTTTTTTTTTTTTTTTTTTTTTTTTCCCTTTCAGCTACAACAGCATCATCAGCTTCAACAACAAATTCTCCGGCAACAATATCAGGCGCAGGAACGACAATTGGCCGAACTGCACGAGCAACAGATGCATCAGTTGAAGGTAAGTGAAATATATCTCTTATATATATATATAATAATAATAATAAAAGTAGAAATATTTTTTGTACCTTTTGTATCAGGGTTGATTAAAATATATTTTAATGATTATTAAATATCTCGAAAATAAAAGAGCTAAATTTATAAAATTTTTTTTGTGGCAATAAAATTATAAATATAAATTTAGAAATTAAATGTTAAACGAATTTATTATATCTAGTTTTTTTAGAAATAAATTTAATTTAGATATAAAAATTGTATAAAATAAATATATATATATATAAAAGATCACGCGTAAGCCCCCATTTTCCACGTTAACGTACGTTTCTTTGTTTCCTTCTCTTTTTGTCATAGCTTTGGGAGCAGCAGAAGCAACTGGAGGAGCAAAGGAGAGAGAAGGAGAGGCTCGAGGCATTGAGGAAGAAGGATAAACACGATCACAGCGCGATCGCTTCGACGGAGGTGAAGCAACGGCTTCAGGTATACGAGTGGGGGTCGAAGACCCCGTAGTTCGTATCGGAATAATCCCATTCGCGTGTGTAGATAACTTTCATCGCCGAAGGGGAGAGTCAGAGGGAATTGGTTCAGAGGGAAATGATATCAAATGATAAAATGATAAAAAATATGAAGGAAGGAGAAAAATATATACGCGTGAAGAAATCGAATCTAGTTTTGAAAGTATTCTTATATCTCGTTGATATTTATCCGTCCGGTGATGAACAATGATAGAAATGGATGAGGGGAAGAGAGAACGTTGGATCCTCGTTGAGAGAGAAACCTTGCGATTTCAGAGCTTCCTCGTGAACAAGAAGCAAAGGGAGGCCGCAGCGGCTGCTAACGGGGCCGTACCTGGTACACCCGGATACAGGAGCTGGTGAGATTTTATTCGAGATCGGTGATTCTCGCGAACTTGCCAATTTTTTTTCTCGAGTACATCCTCTTCCTTTCTCTCTTCTCTTTTCCTTCTGCATCTCCATTTCCATTTCCATTGTTCGACAATGGAACACGAATTTCTATCCCACGAGGGAACAGGATACGCGGTAGAAAAAGTAAGTGGATGTACTCTGATTAAAAAGAGAGAAGAGCCGATCACGAGACGAGTAAGAAATAATCGAATCGAGATAGAAATAAAAATTTGTCGATCAGGTTGCAGCCGCAATCGGCGGAATCGGCGGGCGCAGCGAACGCTTCGCATCCGTACAGGATGCCGCAGATGTTGCAGGAAAAATTCGCCGATGATTTCCCCCTACGGAAAACAGGTGTGTATATATATATGCGTGCCCGCGCGCATATTCGTTCTACTATAAATTCCCGTGATGTCGAGTGATGAGCATATTTGGTGGAAGGTAGTCTCTTTATATGTGTGCCTATGTACGATGGTAGAATGCCTAAACTAAAGCATGGTTTTTTGCGATCCCCGACCATTTTGCCTGTCGACGACACACACGGACAAAACTGCAGACACACACAGAAAATTACTATCACGTTTCCAATTCGAGATACGTACATCAACACGTTCGTCGTTTTTTTTTTTTTTTTTTTTCCCCGATTGCGAGCTTGTCGATCGTAATCGTTTCGTTTATTATATCGTGAAATTTAATCGGATGGTTTCGACGACACGCTCGTATATCATTACGCCTCGTCCTTTGTCCCTTTCCCTACTATT